TAGGTTAGGATTAGATTATTAATGTCAATTTTGATTTTTTATTGATGTTTTTATTGCAAAAACGTTACTTCAAAATATGTGTCATATACATTATGAACACATTATTCTTCATTACATATATGTTATGTATATATATATATAACATTTATAAATAAAAGAAAAAGTAAATTCTCTATATATCGTAAACTCTCTCAAAATAAAGATTTTCATTATAACTCGAACAAAATTTGAAAAAAGCAAAATTCTTAATTGTAATCTTTGGCTCTTGCGCTAACATGTCTTATTTAAATACGTTGACAAGATAATTATCACATTCAGTCAGAGGGCTCTTCTAGTTCTTCCGGAAGATCGTTTCGATCCCTCTGAATTTTTCTTTTTTTTTCTTTCTCTCTATCAATACGCTCTTTAGCGTGAGCTAACCATACTTTTATTGTATTAGATATGTGCTCATCCTTTGCTGCTTCATGCGCGTTTCTTACAATAGCTAAAACAGAAGGAAATATGTTTTTTGAAATTAATTATTTCAACTTCTTTTTTATTTGAATAAAAGGCATCTCTAACACATTTGCAAAATGTAATTTAAATAAAATAGAATAAAATGAAATTTCTTCTTTTTAATTTTGTTTCTAAGACTCGTATGTAATTATGATGGATATAATTGAAAAATATTAATATGACTATTACAATTTCAAACATTTTTAACATTTTTCAGAAAATTAAAATATAATGTATTACAAGTGTATCAAAAGTAATTTTTAGTTTTATCAAAATATTCAAAAGCCTTAATAATGTTAGGAAGAAAAAAATTGTTCCTTAAGGGGGAATACGCAGTCAGGCAGTGCGAAAACAGAGGGTCTTTCTCGAATTTTTTAAAAGAAAACGAATAGTTTTTTATTTACAAACTTTTGCATGATATTAATCAACATTTAAGAACATTTTGTAATTTTTTCATTAAGAAATAATAATAATTATAATTGTTGTGACTATTTTGATATGGCTCCTAAAAAAAGTGGCATTCCGATGGACACTGTAACTCGAGGCAGGATCATCTGAAACCAAAAACCCAAAAAGATTTCGTTAGTAGAAGACTTTGTCTTTCATGTGAACGAAGGATTTTGAAAAAAATTAAATTTTGAATTTTTTAGAGAACTTTTAAGTTTAGAGAACTTTTAAGTCACGATTTTTGCTTAAAAAATCGACCGATTTTATTTTTTAAAACAAGTTCTAATCATCAAAAAAAATTCTTCGTTCACACGGAAGGCAAAGTCATCTACTAACGAAATGTTTTTGGGTTTTTTATTTCAGATGATCCTGCCTCGAGTTACAGTGTGTCCACCGGAATTTTTTGAGGAGCTATATTAAAATAGTCACAACAATTATAATTATTATTTTTTAATTAAAAAATATTAATTAAAAAATTACGAAATATTCTTAAATTGTTGATTAATATTATGCAAAAGAGTTTGTAAATAAAAAACTTTATTAGTTTCCTTTTAAAAAATTTGAGAAAAATCCTGTTTTTGCGCCGCCTGACTGCGTATTCACCCTTAATAGTTTACTTACTTAATATTACTTGACACAAGTTCAGCTGGGAAAAATTCTTTTTTTTTTGGCACCATGCCAACTATATAATACAGCAACTTTGTTTGAGACTATTTGTCTCAATAAATTTAAACATGAATTTTTAATATCCCGCGCTGTCAATCGTGTTAACTGTTTGATCTGTAATAAATAGAAAATATTATTAATACCTCTTTCAAACGTGAGTTTTTAAAAGTATAGCTTTTTAAACAACACTTCTTGGATGTCACTTAGGCATCCTAATTAAAGAAGTTATATCACACACTTTTAATTTTCAATTTTTAAAGCAATCATTAACTGTTATCCTCTTCAATAATTCTCTTAAACAAATATTTTCTAATATTGAATTATAATTACCATTTCATTTCGGTATACAATGTCATTCGTCAATTTTCGTTCCATAATTTCTAAATCATTTTCGTCTCTTACTTAGTGGTAAATGTTGAAAAATATCAATTTTTTCCTGTGCTTCTTCTGCAATCTGTGCGGTATTAGAAACCTTTTCTAAAATTTTTTGGGTTAGTTTCAGGTTATTGCTCATTTTTAATTCCAGATGTTGGAATTTTTTAATTATGTAGCGTTCAAAATCAAATCCTACAACACATTTAAATTACATTTATGCATGTATATATATATATATATATATATATATATATATATATATTAATATGTACATAAAAGTATTAAAGTATGATTATTAAAAAATTAGTATATATATATGTATAAACGTAGTTTCATAAATATTTTAGTTTTCATGTCACAATATATTAAAATGAAATAAAATAATCTCATAAATTTAATAAAATGATCTCGTAAACCTTACAATTTTTAGTAATTTTTAAAACGTTTTTCGTAAGATTTATTTAGATTTATTTAGATTTATTTATTTTTTAGCAAATCTCGCGTAACTTAAACCAGTGTATGAGTACATACATACATGCCTATATACTTTTACGAATTATATGTTAAAAATACAAAAAGATCGCAAAATTTTAAAAATAAAATTGTTTTAAAATAAATGTTTTTGAAATAGTAAAATATGTAATGGAATTGCTGATTTTCTTTGAAAGCGTCGATATTGAAATTTTGGAGTGTATTTGAAACTTTTAAGATTAAAAAAATTATACAGTTGCATACTAACCCTCAGTATAATTTGACATATGTCTGTTGGGCAGGACATTTTCATTATGAAGACGTTCAGTGATGTCTATCGAAGTATTTAACATATGTCTGTTGGGGGGGACATTTTCATCATGAAGACGTTCAGTAATGTCTATCGAAGTTTCCGCGCACTGTCCTGAAACTGATTAAATAATGCTATCATTGTTTCCAAACAATTTAAACCAATTTATTTACATTTAAGGGCGTTCTATAATGCAATGTAAATATCTCGACACCAGTCGTGAAGCAATTGCGAGAGCCAATTAGAAGCTCAGAATGAGAATAGAAACAGGAGGGAACATATAGTACTAAGCAGGCGGATGGAAGTGACTATATACAATGTATAAAGTGATGCTCAAGATAGCTACGCAAGCGTTGATTTATTGTCTGAAACAGGAGCCGATCATGTTTGATGCAAAGTGACGCTCAAGATGGCTGCCATGACGTAGTTCCGTTCGTCAAAATCCTGCCTCAACTATCGATATTTTCCCTCCTATTTCTATTTACTCTGAGTTTAAAAATGTCACTACTTCATAATTGATAATGGAATGATTGCGACGCATTGCCTCTTACAATAGTTCAATAATTTCTAAAAAACATGAATAATATAGAAGACAAAATTTCTTACTATTTGTTCTACACTGCCCGTCAATGACTCGTGCTGTTGTTATGTCTCTCTTACTCTGCCTATACCGGCGCTGAGGTACGAAACAGAATAAGAGAGAAATAACAAATCCAACGCAAATCATTGACGGACGGTATACATACATAAACATATATACATGTATATATAATCTAAATAAATAAACATTTACACACATACAATAATTAAAGACACATTAAATAATTAAAGACAAAACGGAGATTACTAACCTCGCTTAGAATTTAAATTCAAACTTGGAAGACTTGTATCACAACGCGGAATTACACATTTCTTTACATCGCCGCGCGCATGCCGTCGTTCAGGCTCATGATTATCACAACGTGGGAATACACATTTATTTATATCGTGCCGTCGTTCAGGTTCAGGATTTACATTAACAATACACTGTGAATCTGAAAATGGTAAAACAAAACATATAAATCATAAAAAATTAAAATTGTGTGTTAAAATATTAAGTAAAATATGCAATATTAATGCAATTTGTAAAAAATAGTTTCCTTTAAAAATTAGATAATAAAGTGCAATTTTTAAAAACTTTGTACATGAACACAAGAAAATATAAATACGCATGCAGAAATATAAACGTACACACACACACGCACGCAGTCATTATATATGTATATATTAGATATTCGAGAATATAAAATGTAAATTAGTAATGTACATAAAATAGAAGGTATATAGAAATCATTTCCATACAAACCTTGGCTGGAATTTAAATCCAAATTTGGACTGCGTCGGACTACATTTTCATAATCAGAATACTCCGAAATTGCGAAACTGCTTTGTGAAGCTAAAAGTAAAAAAGAAAAAAGTATATAACTATTAATATTCCAATAAAATTTTGTTTTTGCATTATTCTATGTTTTAATGTGCGATATTAAACATGATATAATACAGAATTTAATGTAATACATAATGTTTTTTATTACAAGGTTAAAATGATTCTTGATATAAAATCTTTATCTAATCAAAATAAAATAGAGCATTGAATATTATAATTTTATTATAATCGTATTGCTGTTGTAAAAACTATCATGTATACATATTTAGATAAAAATTACTTACGAAAATCAACTTCTTCAATGTTGTTAAAATTGTAAGATGCAGTACTTTCTTGTTCCAGTTTTGTGTCGGCAATTTTAGAATACTTTATTGTATTATTTTTACATACTCGAGTTGTTTTTGTGGACGTCTCCTTATAGACGTTTTTGATTGGAGGTTTGGGAAGATCTGAGAGAATGGCTTGCTCAGAATCGCTTTCATCGTTAGTATACTCATATGAACTGGAATCATGCATCTTAGCCGCTCTAATTTTGCGGGATTTTTTACAAAGTTTCTGTCTATCCTCGTCGGTACAAGAATTGATGTCGGACATTTCTTCAGCTAATTTCAATTTTTGTCGAGCCACAGCATAGTTTGCTGAAAAAATAATATATGAAATAAACATAATATAAGCACCATTGTTTTTCTATAAAAGCAAATAAAAGTATCAATATCGTATTTATAGAAAATAAATATATTACAAAAACTTTAAATAATTAAATTACTTACAAGATGTCGCATATATTTTCAGGACAGTATGCTCCTCCCATGTACAATCAGGTACTTCCATCAATTTAACCGCTTTGTCATATCTGTCGTTACTGATATAATGTCTGGGCCATTTTGATTTTCGTAAATCACTACTTAACCAAGTAGCGGGTACGATTTGCAGACCATCTTTGAACTCAACAATAGCATATTTCTTTTTATTGTCCATTCTGTGCGAAAATAGATGCAAAAATTAAATATCGGAATGTAGAAACGGAAAAACGGCAAACTTGTCATTTTCATATAGCAATTTAACATATTTTTTAACTATGGTTTTCAACGGCCATGCCTTTAAGTCAGATAAAGTATGAACAGAATAGATATCCAGTAACGAAGATAAACACGGAACATTAAAGACATCTTCCTTTTCCATGAATTCTTGACCAATAATGACAGGAATATTTCGTTTTGCGCAGTAAACTACATTTTTTATACAGACAATTGCACCACAACTTAAACCACAACAGCTATCGGAAAGTGTGTCAGCTTTGAATGTCATTCCGTTGAACTTGACAACTTTATATTGTGGATTGTGGCAATTCGAAATAATAGGACCATCATAATGTAAGGACATTAAATTATAATGTTGTGGCCCATAATGTGGCCTAGTAGTTGAGGTAAATAAGCTCTTTTCTTTTTCAATGAATCTTCGTACAACTTGTTGTAAAGGTTTTTCTGATTTTCGAATATACTTTTTAAGTATCTGCATGTAATTTTCAAATTGAAAGGCACTGAAGTTGTCTAGAGGTCCATATATTTTGACGTCATCAACAAGATGAATAAGACTATGCACATTATGTGATACGTTTTGCGCTCCGTACAATTTTACAAATGTTTTAACAAAGAAATAAATAAGCTCTTGTGCATAGCTAAGGTGTTCGTGTAACTTCTCCGAGGACAAAATCCTTATAACAACATGTAATGTCATAAAATGTATATATACATCTTTTTTTAATATAGATTTAAATGCTATTGGTCCTGTATAAAGTAATATTTGTCTATATTCTGTAGCTTTCCACAATTTCACACAATCTAATCTTCGTGGTTTTCGTGCAAATTCAACAGGTATTGATGGTTTTAATTGGCTTATTAAACGTGTAGAAATATCGTTCACGGCTTTGTATTGTAATCGATATTGCAGTTCTCCATGAAGCCATAAGTTTAACAATTTGCGCATAATTCCTAAGCACACCAAATGCATATAGTCCAAAGGCACATTTGTTACAGGTTTGAATTGAGGAATATTTAAGAGACTGCACGTTATATTTGGCTTATGATAATTATCGTCTATCTTTTGTATGAAATCATCGTCAGATCTAAGTGGTGCGTCCATCTGTGGAAAACACAATCGATTTCTAATATACTCTCCTTCCGTTGTACACTTCGTGCAACTGGAATATCCAGAATGTCCTTTTACAGACAAAACAAATGCTTTCGCAGGAGTGTCACATACTAAAGCTTCTATCTGACATGGTATCAGTCGATCGTTGATGTTAATTCCATTTTCGCATATATCTTTTGCTTCGTCGACAAAATTTTTCAAAAACTCATTAGCATCTTCCGGTTTTTCGTTACCATGATAAAGTCCAATCATGAAAACGTTGCCATTTGGAATAATTGAGCCAAGTATAGGCCAAAACTGCTGTTGCGACGATCTTGTTAATGGCAATCCATCAATGTTGATTGCTATTTTTAAGCAATCAATATTCTTTTTAACAGATGACAAATTTTGGTTTATACATTTTAATAAACCAAAATGATAATATGTTCCTGGATCAACTATTCGGATGTCTTGTTGTCTCGGTGTTTTTAGCAGCGTTCGTGCGTCCACGAAAAGTGTTGAAAAACACGAATGTTTTCTTAACGTTAATAGCAACATATTTAGAGCGGTTTGTGAAATTTGATGCTCAACAGCCCATGCTGCAAGGTCATTTTCAAAAGATGGACTTCTGTTATCATTACCAAAATCCAGATTGCTTGATTCGTCACAAAAATCGTTTAGAGATGATCGTTGTGAATCTGATTCTGATGCAGACTGTCTGTCAGATTGTACATTTTCAAGTTGTACTAATATGTTGTCTTCATGTTGTTCATATTGTATAATATTGTTATCAATATTATCAGTTTCATTTTCTATATCACTACTTTTTGCTTTAGATTTAAATCTGCCATAGCCCGTATTCGTTGTGCATTTAGTATTAGAACTTGACAAAAAACATTTATGAAAATTTTTTGAAATAATATCTGCCTCTTGTGCAGCTAGTCTTCTCAGATGTCGTCTTGACATATATAGAGTATCTTTTCGTCTGTAACATTTCCCACTAATATTCATGTTGATAAATCTGTTTAATATAAAAAACTTTGGTAACAAGATATATTATGTAATATTATATTATGTAAATTATTTATAAAGAAAGTGACATGACTGTAACGACAATTGTAGATATGTACGATAATCGATTGTGTCATATTGTGAAATAATAACAATTTTTTAACAAGGAAAGAATATTAGTGGTTTAAAGCACAAAAAATTTTTAATTTTGTAGATAAAAGTTAGTAACTTAAAAAATGTTTTTAAAATAGTCAAAGTTAAAAATAAACATTGAAAATAACAGAGTTAAAAATTAATACAAACAAATTTAGAATAAGGCTCGTAAGATCAAAGTCACAAATATAAATAATCAAGGCAATACGAGCCAAACGCGGATAGTAGTGCGTTGAGCTTTTGTAGAAAATTAATTTTTCTACAAAGCTAAATGCTGTGCACAAGGCACAAATTTTCTTTGGTACATGATCAAGCATTAAAAATTAATAACTTTTCTCACATACACAATTATATTCTTTATAATTTATTATTTCATAACAAGTTTTACAACTCAATCTTGGAAAAATGCAGAGTTGTTTTTCATTTATGTGTAAAAATAAATAAATTTTTTGGTAATTATGCAGTATAAGGGAGCCACCCCCGATTTCAATAATTTTTATGTATGTTATCAAGGTCATCATCGTGAGTAATGTTATGAAGGTTTTAGTCAGCGGTCATTGTTTTTTAAAAAGTTATTTTGTAAAATCATATTTTATAAAAAATTGTAAATTTCACTTTTTAAATTTTTTCATTAATAACTTTTTAACCAACAAAATCCTTCTAGAATTACTATATTTTTATATATTCTGCATAAATTATAGCAGAGTCTCTGCTATATTAATATATGTATAAGAATTATAAAATATCGTATATAAATATCAACGAACAAATTATCGCTTTCAGACACCTTGTACATTTACAATAGAAATGATTGTTTTGTTTCGGTTTCTTCGATCAAATACATCAAGTACATTATCGATCAAACTCAGTTTATCATATAACTCTATAGCAGACATTTTCTGGAGAAAATGAGTTATTCAGTGGAGCAAATGAATAATAATCCGTGGCTTGCAGTGCAAGACGTAGTTGGTGATGCTAATTTGTGGCCTAAATTTATTACAAAATGTTCTGGAATCGAAATTTGAACGATCATAATCGGATGATTCTAGTAAATTTTTTACAAAATAACTTTTTAAAAAACAACGACCGCCGACTAAAACTTTCATAACATTACTCACAATGATGACCTTGATAACATACATAAAAATTATTGAAATCGGGGGTGGCTCCCTTATACTGCATAATTAGCATTCTTGCGTGCCATTTTTAAACAAAAAGATATTTTAATGAAACAAGACCACAAATCGCTTTAACACACTTGTAAAATTTTCCGAAAACTAAACTTTTGCCTTGATAATTAATAAATAGCGGTAAAATGAGTGTCAAAGTAAATGAGCTACTGAGCTGTCAAAATCGTCAAAACAGACAAGTTAACTTTGACACTCATTTTATAGCTATTTATTAATTGTCAAGACAAAAGCTTAGTTTTCGGAAAATTTTACAAGTGTGCTAAAGCGATTTGTAGTTTTGTTTCATTAAAATATCTTTTTGTTTAAAAATAGCACGCAAGAATTCTCAACGTGTCATTTCTCGCTTCTGACGTCACAAACCGATACGACCGTGGCAACTACTCCCAGACAGCATAAGTACGTTATATGAACATTCATAGAATAATATAAGAGAATATTTGAATATTCGTAGAATATTTTACGCGTCTATTGGAGTTCCTATAAATTTCCAATGGAACATTAGAAGTAGACAAAAAGTCACGTTCTGTGAATGTTATACGAATATTATATGAATATTCCCATACAGCACAAAATATTCGGAGAATATTCTTTTTCCTGTTTTTCAAAACTAATTGAATTAAAATTACAAACATGCATTCTATATTTGGACTGTTCAATCGCTCGACCGTGACAAGCTTTTATTAATGTGATAAAGCTGCTTAAAACATATACTATTTTTTAAATTAATTTTTTTAAATATTAAGGTTCCTGAGCCCAGACAGCACAAAATATTCGGAGAATATTCTAACAAGATTCTTCTATAAGTTCTAAGAATATTCGAAAAGAATATTCCATGTAATACTAAGAACGTTTCTGGAATGTTATTGGAATATTTATTTGTTAAGTCCTCAGAATATTCAATCAAGAATTTTAATTCAATTAGTTTTGAAAAACAGGAAAAAGAAATGTAATCAAAATAAAAAAAATTTCAAGTACAGAAAAAAAACATACTTGTTCTGTTGAAGACTCTTGCAGAACCCTGCGAAAAACTCTGTGATGAACTCTGTGAAGAACTTTGTGGAGAATACTGTGAAGAGTCTTGCAAAAAACTCTGTGAAGAACACTGCATAGAACACTGCGAAGAACCCTGTGAAGAACTCCGCGAAGAACACTGCGAAGAACGCTGCGAGCTGAAAGTTATATATATATCATTTTAAGACACATTATTTTAAAAATATTAAAGAAAATGTATAAATAATATTGTATAAATAATACTATATTTTTAAATACTATATTTTTTAAATACTATATTTTTTTCTTTTAATGTAAATTTAATAAAACGTCCTTTGTGTAAAAATTTGGCTGTCACCCAGATATGGATGACGATCAAAGTGCTCAAAATAAAATTTAAAAAAATTTCAAGAACAGAAAAAAAAACATACCCGTTCTGTTGAAGATCCTTGCAGAACCTTGCGAAGAACTCAGTGATGAATTCTGTGAAGAACCTTGCAAAGAACCCTACGAAGAACTCTGCGAAGAACTCTGCGAAGAACTCTGCGAAGAACACTGTATAGAACATGCGAAGAATTCTGCGAAGAGAGAACACTGCGAAGAATACTGCGAAGAACTCTGCGAAGAGAGAACACTGCGAAGAATACTGCGAAGAACTCTGCGAAGAGAGAACACTGCGAAGAATACTGCGAAGAACTCTGCGAAGAGAACACTGCGAAGAATACTGCGAAGAACGCTGCTGAAAGTTATATATATTTATATACATATATCATTTTAAGACGTTTTAAAAATAATAAAGATAATGTATGTATTGATATTCCTGAACACGTTCTAAATTTGTAAAACTATTCTGTTGATACGAAATATATATCTGAGATGTATATCTAAGATATTTTATACTAATTACCCCAATAGCCAAGTCTGCTAAAGCAGATCTTGTCAGGGAATCTGTTAGAAATTGTTGTCGACAGAAAGATTACAGAATCGATGCAGGTTCTGATATATCATGTGATGTCGCCAGAATGTCAACAGAAATATAACAAAGCTTGTTAACATAATCAGTTACCAGATTGGCAGCAAAAATCGAACAGATTCTGCCGGCATAACTTAGTGGCAGATTGGTGGCAGAAATTGAACAGGATCTGTGCGATGCAATTTGACAACAGATTGTCGGCAAAAATCGAACAGGATCTGCGCATACAATCTCTGATAGCAGATTGATGGCAGAAATGGAACAGGATTTGCATGATTCGATAGTTCTTTCACTTACCGCTACGTGAGCTGTACTTTCTCGTAATTGAATTTCTGTCAGAAATATATATAAAGTCACGAATATGAATAAAAGACTAAAAATATAGTAATTATCATTTTAATTTTTCACTTTAATTTCTGATATCTGATACAAGCAAATGAGAGTCAGAATTCAGAATATTAAACTGATTGGAATCAATATAATATATGGAAAATTATTCATGCACTGGCTATTTGAGGCATAAAGCAAGAATTTAATTCTAAATAAATTACATCTCAAGTTTTACAAGTTACATTTACTTTATTATTAATTTAATTAAATAGAATTGAAATTAGTTCTTCGCTATATGAAATATAACTATGATATAACATATTACATATGTCATTTTCTATAAGAAAATTCTAATTAACTTGCCGATAATATTGTTATTTAGCACCTGTAATAATCAATTTTGTTGCATTTATATAATATTAATAAAAGTGCAAATCTTGTGAAATTTCTACTGTCCATTTGCCATCAGGTTGCATCCGCAGATTCTGTTCGGTTTCTGCGAACAATCTAACATCAAATTGCACGCGCAGATCCTGTTCGATTTCTGCTAACAGTCTGACATCAAGTCATGTTAGCATTGATAGCAGATCCTGCTCAGTTTCTGCCGACAATCTGATATCCGATTCTGTGAGCAGGTTCTGCTAGCAGATTAGAAGCAGAATGAGGACGCAGTAGATGTCATTCTGCTGACATGGTTTGATCAAATCTGTTGCCAGTCTGTCGACATACTGCTTACATTTTGCTTATTGGGTTATGTATTAAAAATGTTATATTTTTACATTTTTTGTGTATATAACCTTAAACTATTCTAAGGAGAAAAGCTTTATAAGTATGTAAAAAATATACAAAATATTACGTAAATCATATATAAAATCTGTCTGTTAAACTTTATTTACTATTATATGTAAGATAAAAGTTAAAGAAAAAAAGGATTACCTTCGATTTCACTAAGTTGAAATCCCTTATTCCATCGAGCAAGCGGGAAGAGACCGGAACAGGAACATATGCAGATGGCGTTAAACGTATGTACCGTTTCCATATTTGGCGTCAAACCTGAGATTATACGCCCGCGATAGAAAAGCGTACGTATCTTTACCGTATCTTTGAGTAAATTCTGAGATTGTACGCACGCGATAGAAAACCGAATCATACTATAAGAGATATTATAGAGTTGTTCTCAGTATCTTACGGATGATCATAGTATAATGAGTATGAAAATGGGATGATACGCAGGATATCATGTGCTGTTAGGGATAAAATCAGATTGTGAATATATTTATAAATATTATTTGTAAATTTTACAAATATACAATATTACTTCAAATAACGTGCGCAATACATTTAATATTATTAACTTTTGATTATATCGATTAGTAAACGAGTCGTGCATAATTTGTAATTTGTTAAAAAAGTTATACGCATATTTGCATATAATTTTTTTAAATTTTATCTATTAATATTTTTAACAAATTACAAATTATGCACGGCTCGTTTACTAATCGATATAATGAAAAGCTAATAATATTAAATGTATTGTGCAAGTTATTTGAAGTAATATTGTATATTTGTAAAATTTACACATACTATTTACAAATATTCACAATACATTTGTTGCCTCGAAATAATATATTTATATCGAGAATGGAATGGGCCCCTCCATCGCCCATTCCCGTGAGACGCAACCATAAATATATGTATTTTTTTTGTCTCTCCGATATATGCAAACGAGATATTTGCACTGAGACATCGTTTTCCAACAATATTCATTTTGGAAAAGGCGACAGTCTATTTTCTGCAACAATTTTAAAAAAATGTTGCCTCATATATTTCACATTAGTGGAATATTTCTCCTTACAAGGATTTCCTCCTAAAGCTATAGTTGTAGCGAAAGCTGCAGCATAAATTCCACAGGATATACCATCAGGTTATGCTTGAATCTTTTCAAATATTATATTATTTCTATTTATTTGTGGATAACGGCGATGAATATAATTTTTTTCTTTAGGCACCAATTTATCGTATGTACAACCAGATAAACTATCGTACACTCGAAGTTTGGTACCGTCAAAAAAAATACATCGCCAATGATCATTACAATTTCCTCCAATAATTTGTAAGCTTTTGTCGCTACGACTTGCTACAATTATATGAGGATATTCCAAATATAGCACACTTTGTGTTTCAAAATTAGAATCATTTCTTATAACGCGTAAAAGTAGGTCTAAAGATTCATCATTTATTTTGCTATCTATAGGTAAAACATTATCTTTTACTACATATAAAGGAGCAACTGAATTATCTAAAAATTCTCTTTGCTTGGCTATATCGTCTTCAGTTAGTTCTCTATTTTTGGAGTAACTAACAACGATGCAATCGTCATCTTGTTCTGCATTCAGAGCAGTAACAATAGTTGCTTCCATTGGTAAAATATTCGAAATATTTATTTCAGATTCGACACATTCATCTTTTTCGATAATGTTTTCGTCTTCTGAATTACATTATACATCTGAATTAATTATAATACAGTACATAATTTTTGCAAACAAAAATGCTTGAAATATTTTATAATTATTTTATAAGAACGCACATGCAAACCGTATCTGCAGCAAAGTATTTATAAAAGTTACCAGCACACGAATAGATCGCCTCTGGGACAAATGTTTTTTAATTACCATAGCGCTCATGCAACCGCGTCTGGTATAAAATATTTTTAAAAACCAGCGCACGAATAGATCGCCTCTGGATTTATTGCAGAACGCACATGCAAACCGTATCTGCAGCAAAATATTTATAAAAGTTACCAGCACACGAATAGATCGCCTCTGGATTTATTGCAGAACGCACATGCAAACCGTATCTGCAGCACAATATTTATAAAAGTTACCAGCACACGAATAGATCGCCTCTGGGACAAATGTTTTTTAATTACCATAGCGCTCATGCAACCGCATCTGGTATAAAATATTTTTAAAAACCAGCACACGAATAGATCGCCTCTGGATTTATTGCAGAACGCACATGCAAACCGTATCTGCAGCAAAATATTTATAAAAGTTACCAGCACACGAATAGATCGCCTCTGGATTTATTGCAGAACGCACATGCAAACCGTATCTGCAGCACAATATTTATAAAAGTTACCAGCACACGAATAGATCGCCTCTGGGACAAATGTTTTTTAATTACCATAGCGCTCATGCAACCGCGTCTGGTATAAAATATTTTTAAAAACCAGCACACGAATAGATCGCCTCTGGGACAAATGTTTTTTAATTACCATAGCGCTCATGCAACCGCGTTTGGTATAAAATATTTTTAAAAACCAGCACACGAATAGATCGTTTCGATAAATATTTTTTAATTATCACAGTGCTCATGCAAATCGCATCTGGTATAAAATATTTTTAAAAACCTGCACACGAATACATCGCTTCTGAGACAAATACTTTTAAAAGCAGCTAGCTCATGAATAAATCGTCTCTGGCACTAACTACTATAAATATATATATATATAAAAAGTATGTAATCTTTGATAGAAAGGCAAGCGTTTGGCATTATACTTACACATCAACAACCTCTTGCTGTCAACAACGGGCTTCTTCTTTTCTCAAACCGGACTCGATCCCGACTCGAACCAGGGACGTAACAATATATAATACTTTCATTATAACCGACACGTTATAACGCGTTGTAATTTGTAACGGTCGAGGATCGAGGAATGTCGAGAAACATCGAGCTGTACTCTATGCGAAATAATTTGCTGTTGCCAGCGTATCCATTCTGGCATCACTGCTCAGTAAATATATATATTACAGCCGCCGCGCAGTCTGATTCCGCAATATTATAGAAAATAAAATTTTTATATTTTGCATTTTTTCGATTTGAAAATAATTGCAATGGATTAATGAAATTTTTGCGATTAAAACGACACCAAACATGACATAAATCGGATCATTTTTAATTAAATTAATTACAAAATTTTAATTATGTATTTCATTATAAATCACTCGATTTATGTCGTGTTTGGTGTCATTTTAACCGCAATAATCTCATTAATTCATTGCAATTATTTTCAAATCGGAAAAGAGCGAAATAAAAATTTTAATTTTTATGATATTTAAATCCAGAACAGTTGTTATAGATAAGGAAAGGTCTCCGATTCGAAACGAGAGCAAGAAGGAATAAGGAGCAAGCGAGATGACGAGACATCAAAGAGTTCCGAGGTCTCGCTCGCCAGGCTCACTTTTTCTTATCTTCGTATGTATACATGTCAATTTATAATGGAAAATAAAATTTTTTTATTTCGCATTTCTTCGACTTGAAAATAATTGCAATAGATTAATGACGATTTTGCGATTAAAATGACACCAAACATGACATAAATCGGGTTATTTTTAATTAAATTAATTACAAAATTTTAATTATGTATTTCATTAAAAATGACCCGATTTATGTCATGTTTGGTGTCATTTTAATCGCAAAATCGTCATTAATCTATTGCAATTATTTTCAAGTCGAAGAAATGCGAAATAAAAAAATTTTATTTTCCATTATAAATTGACATATATACATACGAAGATAAGAAAAAGTGAGCCTGGCGAGCGAGACCTCGGAACTCTTTGATGTCTCGTCATCTCGCTTGCTCCTTATTCCTTCTTGCTCTCGTTTCGAATCGGAGACCTTTCCTTATCTATAACAACTGTTCTGGATTTAAATATCATAAAAATTAAAATTTTTATTTCGCTCTTTTCCGATTTGAAAATAATTGCAATGAATTAATGAGATTATTGCGGTTAAAATGACACCAAACACGACATAAATCGAGTGATTTATAATGAAATACATAATTAAAATTTTGTAATTAATTTAATTAAAAATGATCCGATTTATGTCATGTTTGGTGTCGTTTTAATCGCAAAAATTTCATTAATTCATTGCAATTATTTTCAAATCGAAAAAATATACTTTTGTTATTGTGTAAAGAAAAATACTTATGTAAAAATACATATTCGTTAATATAAAATATTTATTGATAGAAATCAGCAGAACAATAATGTAAATTGCAATTAAATTTTTTTGGCTGTTTTCCATTAATACATATTTTTGCTTACCAAATATGTATTTTTACATAAGGATTTTTCCTTACACTAAAAAAATTAATTTATATGATTTATAATTCAAAAATATAAAAAAAAAATAATATCAATAAAAATAATATTAATAAAAATAATATTAATAAAATTAATAAAATTATTATTAATATTAATAATTTATTAATATATTAATTAATATTATAAAATTTAAAAAAAAATTATAAATTTAATTAATTAATATTAATAAAAATAATATTAATAAAAATATAAAAAAGTAAATAACTTATACAACGAATATTAAAACTGTTATTAATGTTTTAAAAACGCAACAATGCCGAATCTCGAAATCGGCCAGATCGTTTTTCTTTCCAAAGTGGAATGAGGCGACGTTGCCAGATAGAAGACGCGGCGCACACGCACACGTGCCTCGCTGATCGTGTGCGTGTGCGCCGCGTCTGCTTTCTGGCAACACTGGACTGAAAAAACACCGTGGACCGTGGACTGGAACGAACCAGTTCATTCTTGTGCGTTTCAAGTGGAACAATGCCTCGACGTAAGTATATTTTATACATTTTTGAAATTTATATATATATATATATATATATATATATATATATATAATAATAATAATAATAATAATAATAATAATAATAATAAATTTATTTCAGCAAGAAGCGAAGGCAGCGTAAGATTCAAAAAGACGACGGAGACGACGTCGTTGTCGCCACTATCAAAAGTGAGGATGGTGGCGGCAACGACGTCGTCTTCAGCGAACAAGATAGTGACGACGACGGCGCCGCTACCAGCCGACGGAAGAGTATCACCGGCGACGGCACCGCTACCAGCCGACGGAAGAGTGTCAACGGCGACGACGCCGTTATAATAAATATAGAAACAAGTCCTTGGTTCAGTTTCATTAATGTTTCAGTCGAGACTTTCCATTCTATCATATTCTCATCGATGCTGCTTGAAGACACTATAAACAAATATTTTAAGTGCTTGAATAATTATAAAAATTATATAAATATACATTGTTTATGATAAAGTCGAAAATGTCACTGACCGTGTATTCTTTGAGTATGTCGTGATATCACTTGCATAGTATAAAAGTCCAAATGACTCCAGAGAATGTATAAAGCATGTTCTATTATAAGAGAGCAATATTTTATACTTTGTCGCTTATCTCTTACCCAATGATTCAATCGTTGCTCGACCAATATTCGTTGTTTTCCTATATCGAGTTCCATCTCATTTTCAGACATAAACTGATAAAAAATTAATCATATTAAGACATTGTGATTTGAGGTTACAAATATATATAAATTTGATTGAAAGTTTTGCTCACCTTTTTTAATTCTGCTGTACTCATGTCAGTTACTATTTGCGATTTTTTTATTAAAGAGTCGATATGTGGTAGCTCGGTATGTAGTAAATTTGTTACAGAAACCAGCTGTTCAAACATACTTTCCGTCACTGTAACTAATTGCACT